TGCAGCATAGACTGATAAGAACTTTTCGTTACTGGATTGTGAATTCAAATTGCACAAAATTAAAAATAATTAATATTTATTAATATTTTAATAATGTTTCAGGAATATTAAAATATAATACCTAGGTTTATTATATAAGTGGACATATAACCTCTATAGAATACTCCTGTAATATTAAAAAAATATTTATGATATTTTCGAAATATCATAATAACATTATTTTAATTTTTTAATAAAATTCATGTAACATTCTAGGAACATTTTGCGCTTATAGGGAATGCAGCACTCGGTCAGTCTTGTTGTGGTGTACCGCGGTTTTCCTGGAATTCTTGACGACGTAAATTGCAAATCAGAGAAGACCTTCCCAGGAACTTCCCACTACTTGATCCCGTCCTTGTCAGCAGCCAGCAAGCAGCACCAGGCAGCACTCGGCAGTCGGCAGCAGCCAGTTTCCACTACCAGTCTGTCCTTGCTACGCGTCGGCGACGTCGGCGTTCGTTTCGGTTGCCGTACTCTTGTGACTCACCTCTCCTTCGCCGGAGGCAGTGAATTAAACGGTGTTTTTCATCGTTATCATACGTCACAACGCAGTAGTTCTCTTGTAATTCAGCAAACGACCTCAGGTGAGTACCGAGAGCTGATGGGATTATAAATTCTACGAGACTTGGCGTAGTACATATATCGTTCATGTACCAGTTTATCAGTATATGTTTATATAATACATCCTTCTTTAATTTGTAAAATTACTTTTTAGTGTACTAAAAATAATAATAATAATGATGAGAAAACATCAAAAATAATTAAAAGGAAAATTTTCGTAACGAGACCATCTCGATATTTCGTTGGGTGGGGACACCAATCTGTTTAATTGTTTTCTCTTCAAGGTGGATATTCTCTCTCAATTCCTGACATATGCGTGACACGTGTCACGAATAAATGATAATTGCGATTTTTGATATATGACTAATATATTGTGATCGTTTTGCGGTCTTATTCCAGCAACGCTCTATAGATTTCTACAATACATGTATCGGAATTGTTATTAAATTATGTATCCAATAACTAAACGTGACCTAGTTTCCACCGAAGGTTCGAACCGGGTCAGAATGCAAGAACCAATCAACTACAGTCGAGCATTCTCCTGTCATTCGACTAACAATTCGACTAACAAAGGAATACTCGATTAGTAGTTGGTACAGTAGTTGGTTGGTTCTTGCATTCTGACCCGGTTCGAATCCTCGATGGAAACAATAGATCCGTGTCAACACATTACCCGGTAAAAATTTTTTTATGTATTAATATGTATAAATATGTATAAATAACATACCTAAACACGCATAAATATTCATAATCATAAATAATTATACATGAAATATGTCCATGCATCTTTCTTTCTTTTGTAAAATTACTTTTTAGTGTACTAAAAATAATAATAATATTGAGAAAACATCAAAAATAGTTAATGGGATTATTTTCCCATTTTAATGGGGTTATTTTAAAAGAATTGCTCATATAGTAAAATTATACATAGTTATGTATGAGCAAATTTTTTTACATTTTTCCAAACTTAATTTTTTCTAAAACAAACAACGCGAAAATTTTCCTTTTAATTATTTTTGATGTTTTCTCATTATTATTATTATTATTATTTTTAGTACACTAAAAAGTAATTTTACAAATTAAAGAAGGATGTATAAACATGTATGGACATATCTCATACATAATTATATATGCTATGAATATTTATATATGTTTATGTATGTTTATACATATTTATATATATTCATGCATAAAAAATTTTTTACCGGGTAGTGCATGCTATGTTCAGTCCACCATGCAAGCATTAGGCCTGTTCTTTTTGGCTGAACTTTTGCACCAGCTCATCTTTTTTCCTTTTCTCTCCAGGAGGAAAGAAGAGGAAGAAAGATGAACCGGTGCAAAAGTTCAGCCAAAAGAAACAGGCCTATTATTATTCTGTTACTATTTTCTACCGATAAAGCAAATGATGTTTGCATCATGTAGTGCTATCACGACTAGTCAGGATGTGCAGTCGAAATTTTAGGTTTGATTTATACTTTATCGGCATTTTATAAGCACAAATTCGCACAACACGCAGATCACATGTCGGAATTCATATGCGGAGTTAGATGGACATCATAGGTTGCGTTCCACTTAACGCTCGCAACGCTCGCGCGAGCATTGTTTGTTTTTGTTTAACATTTAATAAACAACAAGGCTGAAATGATTCCACGAGTGTTGTAAAACTTGTAAGCGTTAAATGGAACGCAGCCATAGTGACAACATACACTGCATAACCGCACACGTGCACACATTAGCTCTAATTGGCCCGAATCCTCATACAAACACCGAGCGCTGATGAAAAACGGGTGATGAAAATAGGGATAAAATTTATCTCCATCATCCATTTTTCATCAATTAAGGCCATCACACGTATAAAAATTTTAGTCGGAATCGTAAGGTCGCAAACAAATCGACCAATCACACTCAAAATTAAGATCTCGCGTTTTTAAATGCTCAACTATGATTGGCCGATTTGCTTATGGCCTTACAATTACGATTTTTGTACGTGTGATGGCCTTTACGCTTGGTGTGAATAATCAAACATATCAAAATGGCAAACGCCAGTGACGTTAGTATCTGCGTGAGGATCCGGGCTGGCGAGTATTTTGTTATCTCTGCAGGATATATCACGCAAATTACTAGCTGAATCGCCATTTAACCATTTCCGTAGTGCAGTGTATAGATAGAGGAAGTCTACAATTTAGCGTTCTCTTCTTTGTGTGCAGGTTCTTCCGTTGCGACAGTTTAATTCTTGAATAGAAAAAATGAGCCACGGTTACCAAGTAAGTACATACATTTGGTTTATTGTCAAACAACTGAAGAGCATATTTTTAAACTATGTGTCAAGTTTTAAGAAAACGGATTGATGCATACAGCGCAGATTTTCTAAAAATGTTTGTCGAATGTTCTAAAAGTTTACAAATATTCATAGAACGTTCTATGGATGTTGTGTGTTATCTAAGAAGATTATATATGCATATTTCCAGATAGATAATTGTTGGCATATTATCTGAATAATAAAAAATGTGAAAATTGCATAAATACTCAAAGATGCGTTATATAACATGAATATTTCCAGAATATAGAAAAAAAGTTCTTCTGCTGTAAAAATTGTGGCAATGTGCTGTTTATAATTGCTATATTATAAAATCCATAAAATGTGTAACAATATGATATTATAGTAGATACACAAATTTATTATAATTTCGTGTTGTTATGATAACATCACAAAGTGTACATAAAAATGTTTGCATGCTTAGCATATCTGTCTGAGTTATAAAGCTATGACAAGTTTTCTATTTTGCTTGAAAATATGAATTTTACATAGTCTATTAATATATAGTTTATTAACATAGCTTTAAAATAAGCTCATTATTTGAAGAAAATAATTAGACGAAGCTTCCACATGGAATTGGTATACTATTTGTTTCTGTATATATACCTTAATATCCAAGGGACCACCTGTTCAATTTCCGGGACGAGCACGACCACCAACATCGTTTGGAGCTCCACCTGGTGCACCCTCTGCCCCTAATGCTCCATCTCATTCTTCGATGGGCTTCTCAAATGCTCCACCAACATCTTTTGGCATGCCTCAACCACACTCTCAGGCTCCTTGTCCAATACAGCCCTCGTATCCTTTCCCTGATAATACACCCGCTCAAACCTATCCACCGCAACAAATGCCATATCCCCAAGCTATAGCCAAGTATTATCACCCTAACGCACACTCTAATCAATCTGCACCGTCTCCTTATCCAATACAGCCCTCGTATCCTTTCCCTGATAATACACCCGCTCAAACCTATCCACCGCAACAAATGCCATATCCCCAATCTATAGCCAAGTATTATCCCCCTAACGCACACTCTAATCAACAGCAAAATTATAATCCATATCCTAATCTTCAAACAGCACCAGATGCTAAAGATTATTTTAGTAATATAACTCCTTCTGAACCAAATGCACACACAGCTAGTTCAATTCCATACCAAAGTGGTAGCTATCCCGGGGGGCAGGGGGTGAGCTCACAATATCCCTATGCTGCTAATCCTCCTACTGCTGCTACTCGTGGTACTACCCCAGCCCCCCGGAGAAATCAGTTTACGCCTAAGGTGAGATTAAGAATAATTCTTTCAAGACTTTTCAGAAAGTTAAAACATTTTTTGTACAGGTATTAAGACAGCAGTTATTACAATCTTGCAGAAAGGCAAAAGCTTCTATTACTCTTTTCGTAAATTTTTTGAAATTTCACAAATTTTGTTATAGACTTCTCCCACGGTGGTACCTTACGACGGCTTTGATGCCAGAGCAGATGCTGAAACTTTAAGAAAAGCTATGAAAGGATTTGGCACCGATGAAAAAGCTATTATTCATGTTCTTGCAAATCGTAGTAACCTACAGCGCCAAGAAATTACAACTCAATTTAAGACCCTTTATGGAAAAGTACAGTATATGAGAATTAAAAATTTCGTTTAAGAACTTCGTTTTGCAAAATTAGAGTTTAATATTATAATATGTTGCATTTCTGTTAACAGGATCTGATAAAGGACTTGAAATCTGAGCTGTCAGGAAACTTCGAAAACCTCGTTCTTGCCTTGATGATGCCCCTGCCTCAATTTTATGCTAAAGAACTCCATGATGCAACGTCTGGTCTTGGTACTGATGAGACGGTACTCATTGAAGTATTGTGTACAATGTCCAATCATGAAATTTCGATTATTAAACAAGCATATGAAGCAAGTAAGTTGGCTGATATGATATTAAGATTACAATTATATTAAGATTAAATAATATTAAAATTACAAAAAGACATTAATTTATTTGCTTATCATAATATTTAATAATTACAGTGTACAGAAGAACATTGGAAGATGATTTAATTTCTGATACATCTGGCAATTTCAAACGCTTGATGGTATCATTATGTTGTGCCAATAGAGATGAATCATTTAATGTGGATCAATCTGCTGCAATGGAAGATGCCAAAAAACTTTTGCAAGCTGGTAATTATTAGAATATTTAAATAGCCACAATGTCTATTTATATAATATATATTATAATATGTAAAATATGTAGAATATATATACAATTAATGTATTCTTCTTTAATATTTTTTATATTAATATTATACAGGGGAACTTCAATTTGGTACGGATGAGTCTACTTTTAATGCGATTCTTGTCCAAAGAAACATGGCACAGCTGGAACAAATATTCCAAGAATACCATAACATAACAGGCCATGATATTGAGGATGCGATTGAAAATGAGTTTTCGGGCGATATTAAGAAGGGTCTCCTTGCAATTGGTAAGAATAAGCTGTAAAAAGCTGTAAATATATAAGAGAAAATTACTAGACACTATTACTAATATTACCGCTTATTAAAATAAATATCTTTTAAATAGTGAAGTGTGTCAAGAACAGAGCCGGTTTCTTCGCCGAACAGTTGTACAAAAGCATGAAAGGCATTGGTACGGATGATAACCGTCTCATTCGATTAGTTGTGACACGTTGTGAAGTGGATATGGGTGAAATAAAGAATGATTTTGTCCGTCGATACAGAGAGTCATTGGAAGATTTCATATCTGTAAGTTATATAAAAATAAATATAAAAATATCACATATTAATTCACTTTTTCCTCCTTTTGTTTCTTCAGGGTGACTGCTCTGGACATTACAAAAAATGCTTATTGGCACTAGTACAGTCCTAAAATAAGTATTTTCGATCATATATGGAACTTCCGTTGCATTTATCGTCCAACATACAACATATGTGTATGAATGTTCAACTCCTTTTCCTCTTAATTTCTAACAATTATGCCAGCGATAATAACGCAGATTTGTGCTTCGAAATATAGATGAATTTATTTTTATATGTAAAATTATATGAAGATATTTTGAGATATATATACAAGTACTTCGATGATTTTATAAAATTGACAATTATGTATAAAATCCATGGCCATGTTGATGAAAACTAAGAATTGGAAATCGTATAATCACCTATGATTTTATATAAGTAAATAGAAATCAATACATTAATTGCCTCGATTTTAAAAAAATTATTAATAAATGTATTTAATTTTTACTTTTCATTCGTCAACATGTATAATTAATAACTCTATGGAATTAATCGGTGATTTTATGAAACAACTTTCATTGTACATGTATACTTATACTAATTGACTACGACTTACAAATATTGTGATCAAATGTTCCTATATAAATATATAAATGCTTTTAAAATGACGATAGTAAAAAAAGCTTTTAATAGAATTGTGTCAATAACATATGGTGCTTCGTAGTAAATTTCTCTCTCTATACAAACAGAATCTCTCACAAAAATCTATTGACCTTTTAATGAAAGTATTTATGTATCTATATATAAACAAATGCAAAGACATTTTATATATAAATGGTATACATAAAGACATGTGCATATTTTTTCTCGAATGGCTTAATAGTATTTATATAAAAACAGTTCTGAGATAGAGTTTCATATATATTCTATATTTTTATGTAACGTTGTATATTCAAGTTATTATATACTCATTATTTCGATTGTTGTATTTACTGTATCTATATAAATAAAAATTTTAATTGCTATAGACAAAATAAGATCTCAAAGCTGAAATATTGTTAAAGATCCAGCCCTAATAAAGTTTCTTATATATATCACTGCGTTGATAGAAAAGTGGTCCAAAGAAAATACTGAGACAAAAAAGCTATAACTTCGATATAAACCAATAAATTTAATAAAAATTTCACTTATCAGAAATAAAAATGCATGATGAAAGGATCAACTGATAATATACTTGTCAGTCCAACTATGAATTATAATACATATGATTTTCATATTTTGTCCCAGATCTTATATTATTGATATAAATATATATATTCATAGAAAAAATGCATTTGACTGGAAACAACAAATTTTTACGTGAGTTTTCAAAATTCGAACATTGCATACATGTATACGGAGAACTTATTATCGTTACAGATACAGTAAGTTCCCCGCGTATTCAAGAACTTACTATCATTATATATAATAAATTCTGCATATTCAAGAACTTATTATGACTCATCTATATTCGCGAATAATTTATAGATTTTAGCGCTCACAATCCGTGTTTTATTCTCATATATGTATGTATATCTCATTACATAAATCAAATCTGTAATTTTAATAATTGCGCAAGATTATATATGTATATATATGATGTATAATTATCTTTAGATTTTTCGATATGATAACTTTAAATACTTAAAAAACTATTAAAGTTACTATTACTTCGACATTTTGGTATCAGTATTTTTGTCTCAAAATGATCTCAGGAATCTATCCTTAAGCGTTGTTACGATTTTTATCGAACACCCTGTATATATGTATATATTTTTTATCGAATGAAGAATATTAGTATGTTTGTCTTGGTTTCAATATAAAAGAAAAAAATCGAAAAATATCCACTATATAAGATGGAAAAAATATTTGATCTTGCATATCTCTCTATCCTTCGATGTCGTCGTATTTTATAAAGGCTAGTCTATTTATATAAATCTATGTACTTTTTTCTTTCTGTAAATTTCTGAAAAGTCGTGGTATCACGATTTAAGAGTATGTATTTCACAATTCACACGCAGGCATTTCACTTTGATTTTCACGATTTCTGAGAAACAGGCATTTCACTTTGATTTTCACGAATCTTGAGAAACAACGCTACGCGATTCTCGAAGTCGAAATTCGAAATGGTCGAAAGAACGAATAAATACATTAATAGCAGTAATCGAGTCTACTCGTTCCACATTGTAGATATTGCACCAAACGAGTATAGGCCGCGGCCTATACAATAGATGTCCTTGTTTATCCTGTAAGTTAAACAAAGACATCTATCTATAGGTCGCGGACTAAGCGCACGGTGTAAACGTAGCTTTGATTGCACAGGAATGCGTCAGGGGAATTACGCTCAGATAACTCCAGGCTATAGTTTACGTTACGTATACTATAATAAAAGTGTACACTAGAGTTATATGGACGCAATTCCTGAACGTACCCCAGAATACAATATTTTTCCATATTTTTCTTCTCCCGACCGACCATCTTCTCGACATTTAGTCATTTTGACAAATATACATGATATATATACTTTAGCCTAAATCGTAAAAAGACACAGAGATGAATCGTTGGACGTCATTCAATATGCATCCCACATGCGCGATATTTGTAGATTTATAAATTTACTAGCATGCGATAAATATTCGAGCTTTCTAGCAATGTCAATTATATCGCGAACGTTGAGTAAACACGTTCAATGTGATTCACGTTATCACTTGCGAATCTAAGGCGGTGCCAGTCACGTGACAGTAGTATTCCTATAATAATATATTATTATAGCGTTCCGAGAAATTAATCATAGGTAGCTTACAAATAAAGCTGAATCCTCAAGTTAACCAGAGTAGATTGCGAATATTGCATTTGTGAAATGGACGCCAATGCCAAATGTACAATCCTAGTGACTGGATTTGGTCCATTCAGTATACACACGGTGAACGCCAGCTGGGAAGCGGTGAAGGAATTGCAGGAACTGTGGAAGAATTCCGTGGAATTTTCCGACGTTAAACTGGTTGTAGAAAAAATTCCGGTTTCGTACGATTACGTATCTGACCATATTTCTCAACTGTGGAAGAAACACAATCCTTCGGTAAGTAGTGTCATATTCATCATAAATGTAGGTATGCAATTTCTCGATAAATATTTATTATTTTAATAAAAAAGAAAAGGCCAAACGAACAAAAATTGATTGTTATAAAATAATATTAATAAAATTTATTTATTAATAAAAATATAAAACCGTTTCGACTGTATTAAAGTTTCGACTGTATGAAATTTTCATTAGTTTTCCCTGTTCAATTTAGCATATATCATTAATGTTTTTTGTTTGTTTTGTATGAAAGATGCCGTCTCAATTTATATCGCGTTGTCCTGTTTTATTAAATGGGTTTGTCAATTAATATATTAAATTGAAAGAAAAAAACTGTTGAAGATTTAGCAGAGTTAAAATGTTTTTATATTTTTATTAATGAATCAATTTTATCAACATTGTTTTATAACAATCAATTTTGGTTCATTATTGGCCATTGATCTTTTCTTTCTCATTGATTGCATTGCAAATTTTATATTTTAATTAATACTTATTATTTCTATTATTTTAGATTGTCCTACATGTGGGTGTATCACACGAAGCTAAATCTTTGACGATAGAGCAGCATGCTCACAGCAACGGCTACGACAGATTCGATATATATAATAAATGCCCCGATGAAACAGATGTCGAGTGTAAAGTTCTGAAAACTGAGATAGATGTCAAAGAACTTTGCAATAATGTGAATGAAAGAAGCGGATGCAAAGTTTGTCTGTCGGACAATGCCGGCAGATATCTGTGTGAATATATATTTTATCAATCACTCTGTATCGAACCAACAAAGACTCTGTTTGTGCACGTTCCAGATTTTGACAAGTATCCTAGTAAACAAACTGCGAACGGTTTATATGAGATTTTATGTTACTTAATAAGAAATTTGGAATTGAGTTAACAGTCTTAATCTATTAAGCTGTTAAGTAATTGATAATAAGAAATAATAGTGTATGTGCTCAAGGTCTATATACACTTTCTTATATACATATAACATATATATCTAGAAAAAAATAAAAAAGGTTAAGAACATAGAAATACTTAATGTAAATAATGTAATGTGATATTAATATGGGATGTAGATTATAACAAATACACGTTTTATTTTTGCTGTATGAATGTCCAGCTTTAATATAAATATAGTAACATTCCAATTACTGTGCATTGCAATTTATGATCCAGGTTGAAATTTCGTTCGTGCGGGTGGAATATTGTATCTAAGTTCATGAAATTCTGGCTTTCTGATCATCGATGCAACGTGCCCCATTTGGATCGTGCAGTCAGGATTTAGATTCGGTGGTAGCAATGTGCATTCTCGCTCTAAAATACACGCTAATCCTTCTAATAATTCGATGAATCCTATAGACGCTGCTGCACGTCGTAATCGGTTTACCTCCTGTATGCGATATAAAAAATAATCATTTCGTAAAAATTTTATCATTTAAATTACGTACAATTGCTTTATTCTTTGAATCCGTCTAATTTACCTTGTAAAAGTTTTGTGTCTTGTCGGGTAATTTTCTTGCATGTCTTAATATTTTTTGAATATCAGACTGCAAGCCAACTTGGCGAATCCATGAAGGAGCATTTTGTGTATAGCTTCTCTTTTCAGTTGGTCTAACTGGGAAACTAACTGGAGAACTTTTAACCGTATCTAACGGACCCAAATTGCTAAAATTACCTAACCATGGTACAATGTCAGATCCCGGTTCTAATACTGTTAGCATTAAGTTAGATTTCTTCTTTGTATCCGCCCAAGAATATATAAATCCATACCATTCGTTGTTCAACATACAAAGGGCTGCCATGTTTTCTACCTGCAAAATATATCAATTAATTTTAATTGCATTCAAATAATTGTTAGATTCCTAGTAAGAAATTACCTTTAATGCTCCATGAAGCAACACACAAAAAGACGGCATTTTTCCTTCATCTTCATTTTCATCGGTATCCGACTCCTCTTCTAATGATATGCCCTGCATGCTTGAATTTTTCTCTGTTGTCAATGGCAATACTAAATGTCTAGAAATAGAACTTGGGCTACCAACATCTCCTACAGATATAAATCCACATATTTCTATGGTTTTTGATATTGCCAAGCCTGGAGCTAATTCGAAATCTGTCTTCTTTGTATAAGGCTGAAATATATATGTATAATACAATGTCTATATAATTATTTCATCTAGTATGGTTTAGTTTACAACGTGCACTTGATGTACGTACTAACTAGTAACTTTCTATTAAATTATTTTAATTTCAGCGATATATTCGAAGAATGATGTACTAAATTGATACAATATGCATAAAAATG